GAGATGCTGCAGTCTTGTAGCCATTGTGTTTGTAATATCTGCGGAAAGCTCCGTAAGAGTCGTCGAGTTGACAGGCAGCTGAAACAGCGTGTGAAGGGTAAGCCCTTTGATATTGAACGCAGCCTTCCCCGTTTGAGCAGATAGTAAGACGGAGGGAAAATCCGGGTTTAGATCCAGTCGCTTTGATATTTATTCGCAGCAGAACCTGATATATAGCTCTGATAAGTACACTTTTTCCCACTCCAGCTCCACCTGTTATGAAATGGTAAACGGGACTGTTGTCGCGTTTGAAGTGTGCCGCAATGTGCATTACGTAATCCCTCCGTTCGCAGTTCAGTGAGCCCAGCATTTTTTCGAACTCTGTGTTGGGAAGTTGGTTTGGCAGCTGGAAATTCTCGACATATGGGTCTCGCTCGTACATTCCTCTGTCGACATGCGCTTCTTCCTGTTCCTGAATAAGGTTATTATTATTGATGTCAAATATGGGTTCTGTGACGTCGGCCTCTTCTTCCACTTCGAGGTATCGAGCGTCGTTCTGTGCTTGGTCCACAGCTGTTTCAAGAAAATCATTTGAGAAGTAGTGATACTGCTTCCTAACCGGCATCATTTCTTCGCGATGTGTGTTATAGAGCGCCCCACAGTCTGCGGCTATGATTTCTTCTTCATTTCTCCACGGATGATATAGCATCGCCGCCTCTCGATAAAACTGCTCCGGCTCTGTGTGGATGTTGTACATTCTGTAGCGGATTACTTTTGGCCGGGAACGTTTGCGAATAAATCCCGCACCATCCATCAGGCATATAAGTTGCCCTTCTGCAGATTCGCCTTGCATCTCATTATTCCCCGTTTCTTCGTCTTCCAATGCAGTGACCTGCGAAGCTAGACGTGATCTAGCTTTACTATAGTTATACCATGCGGCAAAATCGGCAAGTGTAACGCTTTCCATCTGAGTTGGACGCTTTGTGTAATGTTCCAACAGTCCGTGCATGAAGCAGTCGCTAGAAGCAGGATCAAGATTGCGGAGCTCATGCTGCGGCTTAACAATTCTCACACGCTCATCTGGCGGAGAAGTTTGTATAAAGATTACCTGCTCACTACTGCATGACATGGGCAACTGCAAGATGTTGTATGTGGCTTCCTGCACGGAAATTTCAGTGCTGTTGTAGTGGACATTGCTGATACCTCGCATTACTTCACGCAGCGTACTGTTCCCTTTGCGTAATTCCTTAACCATTTCTTCAATTGTTGTGCTAACCCCTCGGTCGGACTTATTGATGTAATCAATGATGTACGACGCGCACGTGTATGGGTCGAGTACGTACTACAGATCCATATTGGACCTCATCGTGGACAGTATTTCGGCGAGTACGGGTTAGCCAGCACGTCCGAAGGAATGCGACGTAAGAAAACTTTGCATCTTCACAGTTCAGGCCTTATTGCTAGCAAGTGTTCTTCTTCTGTAGCCTCGCATCTTTCCAGAAACTCATCAAAAGTTACGTTGTGCAGGTTTTCGTAATCGGTCAAAACACCATTTATTCGTTTCAGCACTCGTGCAAGACGCTCACGCTCTTGCTCGTCAGTGTCCTCCGGCAGTGGTCGCAGAATTCGGGTACTGCGCATTGGGTAAAACGGTATCCCAAATCTGCACTTCCCTGTCCTACGTTTGCCGCATGTAGCAGTATGTCTGTGGTACTGAAATTCAAGATAATGCGGACTGCGACTGGGTCCCTGTTGATCCTGATGATCAATTGTAGAGGAGCACGTAATGAATCTGTCGATGAAATTGCATACCTCACGTTCATTCTCTCCAGAGACCGTGTCAAATACTGGTGCTTCGATTGGCCAGAGAAGTTGGTGTATGTGAGGTGATCCTCGCTGCTGAAATTGCACTCTGTAATATGAATGCGCAATTGCTATCCCTTCGAATGGACCGCCAGGAAGATCCCACAGTTTCCTCTGTTCTTGATACCTGTAATTGAAGTATCGAGCACAGGTAACTGGATCCAACTGAATCAGCCTCGATTTCTCAGCATATGGTAGTGCAAGCGCTTCCGCTGCATTAATGCTTTGGTGATCAACAACCCGTTTCAGAATTTGCAGAAGTTCGGGCCACTGCGTCTCTGCCGCTGAAAC